ATTCCTCCCAGGCTCTCAAGTTCTGAGCAGTCTGCTGACGAAAGATAAGCAAGCTGAGTCTGCCACGAAAGACCAAAGGTAAATGTCTCAAAAGACGTTAAATGTGTCACTGAGGTTTGGGGGGTTTTCAAGGAAATGGTCCAGGAAATAGAGATGGGCATGCAGGTAGGGATTGGCGGTTGTCCTCTGACATCATCAATGTCTCTGAAGCCACTCAGGCTTGACCAGCAGTTCTATGAATTATAATGGGAAGAAACCAAATGAAGCCAAGTCTGACTCCAGGACAAACACCAAGGAAGGACCAGCTACCACCAATGGCCTTTGCCAGGAACTCAGCTCAGTACAGGCCACACATCCGCTCTTGGCATACTGGCTCACCTGGTGCTCCCTTCCAGGACCCCACCCACTTAGGATGCCCCTCTAACCCTGCTGGGGGAGAGGTGGGCCTATTCTCGATGCGGGGCTGCTTCACCTGCCTCACGAGCCATGAGTCAAACGGGCCAGACAGTGGGAGTGACGTGCTTAAGCTCACAGCCGTGCGGGTCAATGTACTTTCTTTTCCTTTGCTATGGGGCATATGTGCTCACTGAAGAGACAGAGACAAAGTGAGAAATCCTCCTCTAGGAGGGACGGCCACGCTGCAACCCCTTCTTTCTCCTGGAACTTTGGACATGCATGCACACACACTCAGCATGTGTTCTAAGCTGCCAGGTCCAGGACTGTAACCACAGTTGGCCACGTGGGAGTCCAGCACCTTAACCAGTACACCACCCACTAGTTCCACAATGCACTTTTTCTTTCAGAATTATTTTTAATTTTATTTATTTTTAAAAATTGGACCAGAGGGAACCAGCAGTTAGTGTAATGGCTATGTCGCCGGACTCCCACGTAGTCAACCGCGGTTCGTGTCCCGGACCCGGTGGCTTAAAACTCACGCCGGGCGCGTGTGCGTGCGTGCCCAAGATCCCGAGAGGAGAATGGAGGAGAAGGGATTGCAGCGTGACCATCCCCCCTGGGGGGTGATTTCTCGCTTTCTGTCTCTATGTCTCTCTCGGAGGGAAAGTGAGAAAGCAAGCCACCAGGTCCGGGACTCGAATCATGGTCAGCCATGTGGGAGTGTGAGCGCCTCAACCACCACGCCACCTGCTGGTCCCCCCACAATGCACTTTCACTATCACCCCCACCTGTGTGCTTCAGGAGTGCCCAGGCCCCCAGCTAGCAAGTGAAGCAGGTTCCTGCATGGGCCCTTCTCATGGTGCACCACCTCACTGCCCACCTGACCAAGAGGTGCTGGCAAGAGCAGAGAACGTGCTTCACAGCAGCCCTTACGGATAAGCATGGTACGGGCCCGCTGGTGGCAACATGGGAGCCAAAGTGGAATCCCTGCCTGCCTTCCAGCCCCGTCCTGCTCTGCTCTCCCAAGGGCAGGCACACAGTTTGTCTGTGTTAAAGGGGCCGACCACAGGGCTCCTGTAGGGAAGGAGGGTTCTGAGCTGGACCTGGAGGAGGGGGGGAAACCAACCAGAAGACGACGGTGGAAGCAGGGAACAGCCCGCAAGGCCAGCTCTGGGGGCAAAATCACGGGGCCAAGGAGTACCTCTGCCAGCAAGTGGGCAAGCCATTCTCCAGTGCTTCCTTCCAGGGGAAGCTGGGTGCACATCAGGCCCCGACAACCCATCCTTCGCAGCACAAGGACAGAAAGAATCCTGCTTCTTTCTCTGCTCTTCAGCCCAAATGTGGCACAAGGGCGTCTTATGAAACCCCAACCTTTCAAAAGCAGTGGTCACAGAAACGGTGACACGACGACATTTGTCTCAGCGAAGCTCACTGAGACCTGGGGTGGGAGTGGGGGGCAGGGGCGATCAGAGGGAGACCACAGCACATGCTCTAGCAGCATTTTTATTTACAAACAGCAATTTCCATCGACTTTATTTATACCATAAAAAAGCCATTTACAAGCAAGAAACGAGAATTCAGAACAAAATTAAGCAGCACTGAAATATTCATGTCACAAATCTAAAACAAAATGAATACAAGAGTAAAATATCATTTGAATAAATAGTCTTAAATCCATGCTATAAAATAATCCTTAATGGCAAGTTACTAGTTGATACAGCATCCGCTTAGCTAGCTTCATTTACTTCATGTGGTGATGAAGTGTGGAGTTGTGAGGTTACCAGTTTATATTATATTGCAAGATAATGACACTGTGTAAGTCATTCAAATTGCTCAACCATTTATAACGGAAACAAATGTTAGCCCTACTAGTCAAAGTGGTGAGAAGGATGGTGGTGTTCACATTAGGAAAACGGCCGTTGTCAAACAAACCAGGTAAGTTTACCTCTTACTATAGTCAGGGCAGCGACCAAGGGCTTGGCGGCAAGTCCAAAGGTCGGATTCACAGCATACTTGTCACTGAGGGGCAGCAAGAGGCCTGCGGGCTGAATCTGCTCCGAGCAGCAGCGCCAAGCAAGGCTGGCTCCAGGACTCGACTGAGAACCACAGTGGCCCTGTCTGCGCCGGACCCAGGGAGGGAACCGGAGAAAACGGGCTCCCTTCGGGCCGAGAAGTCAAGACTGGGCAGAAACAGTGGGAACACTCTGGCACTTACTGAAAAAGACACACGTGACGTGTGACGACCATTACAAATTTGGAACAATGTGAATGACTTTCCTGAACTTTCAGTTCAGTTGCACTGAGTAATATGAAATCTATGATTTATGAACTAGAGTTTCATATAAAGGATTTACATAATTCCCCAATACTTTCATATATAAAATTTAATAAATAACCCTGACCAGTCTAGAAGCACCATTCAAGGGGCATGTGCCCTTGGAAAATAGTTCAGGTGTTGCATATTTGAGTCCCTTTCAGTGGAGGCTTCACAGGAAACCATTAGAGAATTTAACAATAATGACGACGACAACAACAAAAATCACAGTAACTAATAGAAGAAGTTGTTAAAATAAAATACATTTAAAGTGTGAAAGTAAAGCTCATTCACATAGATGATTTCCCCCCAGCCCTTATTTTGTGTTCCTGCAAATTCTTCCTAAAGTCTAGGCTGTAGAAACAGAAATAAAAACAAAACCACACGCACAAAAAAAAAAAAGCAGGCCTATGGTCTGGGCTAAGGGAAAAAGAAAGAGTTGGTTATAACTGCTCTCGTTAGAAAAGACATTTACTCATGCTCTGGAAGATTTAAAAATGATCATCTTAGTTCTACAGTATATTCTGCTTAACAGTGAACCGACAGTATCCTTTCCGCTGTTTAAAAAAGAAAAACTAAAAACAGAACGCAAAAATACAACTGCCGAGGCAGTGCCAATCGGTTGGGAGGCTTTCCACTGACCGGAAAATTAACTTGTCTTCATATACTGTATTTACAAATATAATTTCTAAATGTATTTACAGCTTTAGTAGAAATTAGAGGGCAGAGAACTGATTCGAATGAAAATAACCGTTTAAAACACGAACATTAGTAAAAGTATAAAATTCTTCGTCTTCACAGTTTGCAATAACAGGCTAAATAGGTCTAGAAAAGACGCTGTCACTGCCTTCACATTGTCTAATATTGGAAAGGTAGCTCGAGAAGAGACTCAATTATGAATAAGCCTATATGGATTCAGGATATACTTTACTGTAAAAGATTTCTTCACATATCACTTTCTCTTAATTGATTTCTGCATCTGTTATAAACAAAAACACCTAACCTAAAACTGTACAGAAATAGGGACTTTGCTTTCCAAAAAGAGTTGCTCTAAGGAGTTAGTCACACAGCGTACTTTGTCTGCAGAGACGTGGACTTCGCGGAGAGGAGGTCTCTGCTCTGTGGTCATGTCAATCCTCCTGGCGCATCCGCATGCGGCAAGGCACAAGGAACTGCTGCTGCCCGGTCTGAGCGGACTGAACCTGGCCCAGCCACGCACGGGGAGCACGCCGGGAGGAACGCTCCGAGAGGCTGCCCGGTGTGCTGCCTGCACCGCCTCCGCGAAGCCCTGCGGAACCTTACAGTACTGTGTTATGGCTTGAGAATTCATTAACACTGCTAGCAGTGGAGAGGGTCAAGTGTTAGCAACACGAATGGGAGCAAGCGGAACTTGCCAACTGTGGAATCGCGGCCGTCAGAGAGAAACTCCGTCAATTTTCTGCCCCTTAACAGTCCCATTACAATGTCTGAACCTGAACTGTACAATCAAAGCAATGTAGATTTTTGTCAAAGACAATTTTGGATAAGTCACTCTTTGGTAAACTCAAACCAGTTAAACAAATGTACAAGGACAAAGAACTCCGTGTAAATAAGGGTAAGACTGACACAGTGACAAGCAGCAGGACGCGGGAGGTGCCTGCCCCGAGCGCTCCCCCTCCTAACTGGTCTGGTACACCGCAGAACACTCTGGAGCCCTCTCCGAAGGCCCCACGCCTGAGTGGACAGGAGGTTCCTTCCCTGAGCCTGACCTCTCATGTCCTTGGATTTGAGCTTTTCTTGTCACAAACTTAATTTGTATTACAACACAAATTTTTTGCATTTAATTCTTTTCAAAACAAAACACTTTTTTCATGTAAGGAAAAAAAAAACACAAACATTTACCTGAAACCCCAGAACATATTTAAGTGGGTAAACACTTGGGGTCTAGCCTCCCCTTTAGGCACGAGGCTTTTACAGGAGTTGACAAGTGCTTCAGGGAGAGAAGAAACCCCTACTTAGGCAGTCTGACGAGGAACAAGGCAAACTATATACCCGATTCGCAAGAGCTGCTCCGCGGGAGCAGCGGGGAGTGTCATCTGTTAACACTGACGTGGTGCGGCAGCTCACACGCCAAGAGCCTGTGTGCACAAGAGGTGCTACTGCACAGCCACCGCCCCGGGGGCTATTACACACGAAGGGCTTGAATAGCTTTTTTTTTTTTCCTTAAAAAACCCCAAAAACAACAACAACAAAAAACCCAAACCCACAATTCTTGGTATTTTAAGAGCCAAAAAAGCATGGTAGCTTTTTTTTTTTTTCCTTAAAAAACCCCAAAAACAACAACAACAAAAAACCCAAACCCACAATTCTTGGTATTTTAAGAGCCAAAAAAGCATGGACAGCCAGCAAACATCAACTTCTGTATTGCTTTCGTTCCCAGCCTCTGAGGTTGGTCTTCCGCTGCTGCTTTCCTTTGGGGTGCTGTGCTGTCCCCTGTAGAGACAGCAGTGGGGGTCTCAGAGCCCAGGTTCTCGAGCAGAGACACTGGAGCACTGACATCCCACGGGCACAAACACCCCGGGCTGCTTGCAAAATGACTCTGTACCAACGCGTGCAGTGGCATGGCGATTGCGGAAGCCTGCTGGTATGTGTGAGCGCAGTACAGAGCTGAAGACGTTCCCTAATGTCCTAAGAACATGTCTTTCAAACAGGACCTGGTATGTTTTATACAGTAATGTGTTTGCCAGCACATGCTTTTGAGGTCTCTTTTCAAGCTTGGAACTCAAGAGAGGGAAACAAGTGTAATTGGTTATTATCGTTAGATTTCACATTTTCTACAACTATACTGACCTAAAAGATACTTAACATAAAAATAGCACCACGTGACCCAAAAAACGGTGACACACACACAGATTTGGTGACACACAGAGTATCTTAGAGGGCTTCTGAACTGTTGGTTCTTTAAGCAGGAACACTGAGAGAGTGGAGGAGCCACTGAGGCTCTCATTAGCACACACGATACTAAGAGAGAGATATTGCTTGCAATTCCCATAGAGTATAGCTTTACAAAAAGTACAAATTCCAAGTTCTGCAGTTTCCCTGGGAACTGCGTGTAGAAAAAGTTGCTGTGCACCTGAACTGGCTGTTTGAAAAGAGAAAGAAAAAAAAACAAAAGAAGAAAACAACACTGCTTGGAGAATTTTGTAGACAGAACTACAAATCCCTTTCCTTTAGTGCGAGCACTAACTCATGGTAGAGTGATTCGATTTAGTTACCTGGTAGGTATGTTTCTACAGTACGGAATGAAGGTAGATGTGCAGGCCAGTAAAAACCTTGAAAACCACTGCTCCTTTGGGGTTGGCTAAGAGAACACTACGCTATGTAAAAAGGTCAGCACCACAGGTCACCCAGCCTACCTGCTGGACAACTAACAAAAATTCCAAACGGTTTCCAACCAGAGTTGAAGACATTTTATGGCATTTGGTTTATGTATCTGTTATGAAGCAGAGCTCTGAGCACTGTGATTTGCTTTGCTTGCTTTTGGACAAAGTGATTAATATATATGAAAACCTACTCACATTCTTTTGTACGGGAAATAAAGGGGCAAAACCCTAACATGTTAGGTAGGGATGAGACAGAGTCAAAAGCTCTGTTCACATTGTATTAAATTATATATTCCTCTTACATTCACCTCAACCCGAATAAACTCAAATTTGAGACTGTATATATACTATATATATAATAATAGCTTTATTATATATATATATAAATTGCCTAACTACTCCCTAAAAATGTTTTTAAATTAGAAAAGGTTACCCATTTGTGTCAGCTGACGGCATCCTAGCCTCCCCGTGGAAATGCACTGGTGCCGGGGCACACGACAGAGTGCATGCCTCTTGGCAGAGACCGTGGGGTCAACCAGTTGGCATAGCTAAATCACTGGCAGATTCTGGATCAAGAGTTCAGCCAGAGAGGAATACTGTCAGCCTGTGTTTTCCCTGGATACGATGCCCGTCATGCTTTGAGCTCCTTGGGGGAGGGAGGGCAGGGGAAGGACAGACACAATGAAGTGTTCCATCCAGAAACTTAAAAAAACTGCCAGGAGACCAAGAGATTTCCAGATGGTTGGGAAAACCAAAGACTACGACAAAGCAAATCACAAATATGCATTGATGGATGTGCTTTGCTTGGGTGCACTTCTCTACCGCCTTAATCGGGAGCATCGGACACTGTGTGGATCTCCATTCGGGAATCCAGCGTCATCTCTGAAGCCGACGCATCGTTTTCTAGTTTCTGTTCCACATACACATCTGTTCTCTCAGGGGACTCAAGGCGACTCCTGACTTCGGCGACGCCTGGGTGGTTTTTCCGCAGGTGCTGGTTGAGGGTACCTTGGAAAGGGAAGCACTTCCCACAGATCTCGCAGCGGAACGGTTTATCATCAGTGTGGCCCCGGATGTGGTACTCCAGCTGGTCTTTCCGAGTGTACTTTTTCCCACAGAACTTGCACACAAAAGGGGTGATTCCCATGTGGAGCCGCATGTGCCTGTCAAGGCTTCCTTTCTGGTTGAAGGACTTGCCACAGTAAATACAGATCAACCTCTCGTTGTACGGGTACCAAGGGCCTCTTGCACTCCTCTCCCGGGGACTGTTCTCATAGCCAGGGTTGCTCATCACAGCTTCGCTGTCGGACGCCTGCACCAGGCCCTGCAGATCGCTGTGCAGGTGGACAGACAGAGCCCGCTTCTGGCGGGCACGCCCTCCTCGGAAACAGCTCAGCATGGATCTGGATGGGCTGGAATTACTCAAACTTCCAAAAGCTTCTGATACGCTGGTCGGCTGAGAGGCAGCTTGGGAGTAGGAATAAGCGTGCTGGAGCACAGAGCCATAGGAGCCCACGTTCACAGTCACAACTTGTTCCCCATCAACCATCTCAGTGTGGTACCCGTCATCCCCCAGGGAGGAGCTATCGGAGCAGCTGGGTCGGTCGGATTTCTCCATCTTCACTTTCACCTCAGTGATCTGGCTCTCCCTCACCAGCAGGTCCCCTTGCTCGTGGTCTCCCTCGATCTGAATCTCATACTCAGAAACGCTCCCGCTGCTCCCGCGGTCCGAGTGCCCCTCCTCCTGTAAGCGGCTGCGTAGAATTTTGCTGGGGGTTGTCTCCATCCGGAGGTCACTGCCTGCCGTGGGCTGCCGCACCTGGGAGCAGTATGGAGGGGAGATCTCAACTGGGTTGGCGAAGAAGCCGCCATCCTTCACTCCATTACGACTCTCAGGATTCTCTTCGGCACCGACGGTAACAGAGTCAACATCTCCAACACTGATTTTTGAATGGATGCTCTCTAGGATCTGCGTGCACTTGTCAATGACACATTGCATCTGGAGAAAGCTGGCTGCAGTCAGAAAACTGACAACATCCTTCAGCTGCAAGGACATTCTTCCAGTGTAACAAAAGGAAAGCAACTGTTCGAACACATTGGGGTTCTTAATCACCGATATGGACAAGCCACTCATGGTGCTTAATGCTGAATGGTCCCGGAAATACGGGGAGCTGGCAGCGAGGACTGCTTTGTGGGCTCGGAATGGCTGACCCTGAATGTGGACGATGATGTCACATAGCTTCCCTTGCAGGCGGAGTTCGTTTAGCTGGCTCAGGACGGTGCTGCTGTACTCAGGCACGTCAAACTGAATGAAACTGCTGCTGTCCATTTCTACTGACACGAAGCGCAATCTGCAGAGAGAGAGAATTTCCATAATTCACTGCGACTCCTCACTGAATGAAGGGGCATCAACACGAGCTTGCACCACCGCTGCCACCACCACCACCACTGCTGCCGCCGCCACCGCCACGGCTGCCGCACCTCTGCCTGAGCACTCCTCTACTTCCTTTCAGTCTTTCAAATTCACCTGAAGCCAAGTTATCTAATGATCAATTAGCCTAGTACTATAACTGCCCAACACTGGTCTCGATCAAAATTAAATATTTTACACTTAGTAAGGCTAGTTCAGCTCTGAGAAAACTAGCATCCTTTTAGGAAAAAAATATTTGTTTCACTGTTTTTAAGAATTTGAAGTAATTTGTTAAAAAAAAAAAGTTAAATTTGGGCTCATTCTGTAGCCAAATGGTTAAGAGAACAGGATCCTATATGGATGACCACAGATGGAATCTTGGCCCTAATGGTTTGAAAAACATGCTAGGTGCACATACATGCAATGCCTGAAATCTCAACAAGTTAGAAAAATGGAGAGGAAAAGGATTCTGACATACTCACGCCCACTGGATGTGTGTGTGTGTGCGCGCGCATGCACTCTCTACCTCTGGCAATTAATCATTAAATTCACCTAAAGAATGTCCTGGCTTATTTGTGACTTTCTATTTTTTTAAATTAGTATTTATTTAATCTTATTTATTCATTCAGTTATTTTAATTTGACCAGAGAGAGAGAGAAAGAGAGGGACAAAGGAAGCTGCCAGGTCCAGGACTTGAACCGTGGTTGGCCATGTGGGAGTGTCCAGCACCTTAACCACCACGCCACCTGCTGGTCCCTCTATATTTTTAAATAATTATTTATTTTATTTATTCATTCATTCATTTTTTAATTTTACCAGAGAGAGACAGAGGTTGAGAATGAGAGAGAGAGGAAGCGAGAAAGCAAGCCACCAGATTCAGGACTCGAACCCTAGTCGGCCATGTGGGAGTGTCCAGTGCCTTAACCACCATGCCACCAACTGGTCCCCATCTAATTTTTTTTTTTTTAAGAGAAAGGTTTTTTTATTTTTTTAAATACTTGGAGATTTTTTTTAAAAGTATTTACCCATTTATTTATTTATTTATTTTTAAATTTGACCAGAGTTAGACACACACAGAGAGAGGGAAAGTGAAAAAGCAAGCCACCAGGTCCAGGACTTGAACCATGGTCGGCCATGTGGGAGTGTCCAGCGCCTTAACCACCACGCCACCTGCTAGTCCCTAAGAGAAAGTTGTGCTATAGGGTGTGTGTACATGCTGGAGAGACAGAGAGACAGAAAGAGAGAAATCAGCCCCCTGAGGAGATGAGCACACCACAATTCCTTCTCCATTCTCCTGTTGGGATTTTGGGCACACACATACACACCCCTGGAGAGTTTTAAGCCTCTGGATTTAGGATCTGAACTGCAGTCAACTACGTAGGAGCCAGTGATGTAACCATTACGCCATCTGCTGGTCCCATCTATTTGGCACTTTTCAAGTACGTGGCACACTAGATAGAACGAATGAAACTAAACTCCTTTTAGAGTTGCATTTTCCGCTCAGCTCAGGACAGCTCTATACCCTCTTTGGAGTGGTAATTCACAGTGGTACTCGATTCCTTTCTTTCTGTGAAGCTATTTTTTTGACAGCAGGAGTAAAATGAATGAAGGACACATCAAAAATGTATTATTCTGCCAGTTGCATGGTAGTTAAGCTGGATGGATCTTACATGGCTGATGCATGGATTGAGTCCTGGCCTGGCAGCTTGAAAATCATGTGGGGTGCATGTGTGTGGGCACCCAAAATCATGAGAGGGGAATGGAAAAGGGAATGGGACAAGGCCATCTCCCCTGGGGTGCTTTCTTACCCCCCACTATCCCATGTCTCTCTACGGTGAGCATATACATCCTACACTAAACTTATCAAGGAAAAAAAAAAAAGCATCATCCTCCACTAGTGCTCATGGCTCTAGCACCCCAAGGACAGGTCTGCTTCCTCTTGACTTGAATCTACAGCATGGAATGCTCAGAATTATCTGAAATATACATTGGGGGGACTTCAAAAAGTTCATGGAAGGGGCCAGTAGGTTGTGCAGTGGTTGAGGTGCTGGATTCCCACAGAGATGACTGCAGTTCAAGTCCTAGCCCTGGCAGCTTGATTTCTCACTTTCTGGTGAGCACATTTGCCCTATAGGGAAATTTTTAAAAATATTAATAATGAAAAAAAAAAAAGTTTGTAGAAAATGGAATGAAAGCCTGAGTTTCTTTTGGTGCAAAAATATTCTGATGAGCCAACCTCATAACCCGGTGGTTAAGGGAGCTGGATCCCGCATGCCTGACTCTGGTTCAAGTCCCAGCCTCAGCAGCTAGAAAAACATACGTGGTACATGTGGATGCATGTCCTAAATCCTAACAGGATGGAGAAATGAAGAAGGGACTTCAGTATGACCACGCCCCATTGAGGGTGCTTTTTCCATCTCTATGTCTCTCTCCAGCAAGCACATGTGCCCCCTGCAAACTTGAAAAAAAAAAAAAAAATTGGAGGGCAGGACAGCCAGTGGTGTCATAGTTAAGATGGCTGGATCCCACGTGGCCAATAGCATGGTTTGAGTCCTGGATCTGGTGACATACTGGGTGCATGCATATATGCATGTGTGTGCCCCAAATCCCAAGAATGGAGAAGGAATTGTGGTAGCCATCTTCCCTAGGGGGTGCTTTCTCACTTTTCCTTTCTGTCTCCCTATGGTGAGTATATATGCCCTACAGCAAACTTAAAAAAAAAATTAAATTCATGAATAATTTTTGCATAATATACATTTTCCATGAACTTTTTAAAAAAGATCTCTCTGAAGCTATCCCAGGCTCTATTCTCTGACCAAAATGCAACAAAACTTAATTTACCGATTATATTTTAGTTTTTAAAACCAAGCTGATAGAAATGTAATACCTGAGAATAAGTACTGAATCAGAGAAAATCAAAATGAAATAAAACTACTAAGAAAATGAGAAAACATTAAATTCGAAACAAAAATTGTTTTGGAGTGAAGTTTATTTTGTCTACAATTTGCTTGAGCATACATCCCAAAAGAGGTGATGCAAACACAGGAGAATATTAACAACTGTCGAGTCTAGGTAATGGGTAGTTAGGTGTTTACTATAAAATTCTTTCAATTTGTCTGCCTGAATTTCATAATAAAATGTTGGAGGTTTTATTTATTTATTTACTTACTGGGAGAAGTTTTTGCTATAGGGCATGTACGCTCGCCAGAAAGACAGAGAGAGACAGAGAGACAGAAAGCGAGAAATCCCCCCCCAGGGGGGACGGCCACGCCACAATCCCTTCTCCTCCATTCTCCTCTCGGGATCTTGGGCACGCACGCACAAGCTCCCGGCATGATTTTAAGCCACCGGGTCCAGGACTTGAACTGCAGTCAGCTACATGGGAGTCCAGCAACATAGCCATTATGCTAACTACTGGTCCCTGTTGGAGGTTTTAAAATAAAACAAAAAACTCCAACAGGGGAAGTCCGGGCCTTAAAACTTAAAACGGATTCAGATCCCTGGGTTAGCCTGAAAACATGTTGAGAGTTCAGATAAGCACCCGGATCCTGAGGAACTAATAAGGGCTGGGAAGGGGGACCATGGCATGATAAGATCTTGTTGAGGGGGGCCTCTCGGTCTTGCAGGTGCACACATGCATGTGTACACACTTGCTCTCTACAATAAAAAAAATAAAGACAATGCGCAACTAAGTCTAAGATGCTTGCAGGAAAGGATCAATTAGTGTGACTAGATCTTGCCAGATTTTTAACACATTGAAATGAAATGAAACATTTTAGTCAAAGAGGAATACTGTGCCCTTATTTATGATTGCAATCAATTTGAAATCTCTATGGAATGGACATATTTTTAGGATTACATAAATTGGCAGAACTAAATAAAAAAGAAACAGAAGTGCCAAGGCACAAATGATCCTCAGGCCGTTCACACTGCTCTAGATGCATGTAAAAACATTTAAAGCATCTCAGTTCATATGGCATAAATCTCATACCAGAAGATGACAAACAGCATAAAGAAGAAAACTGTCTACTGCATCTAAGCAAATATATTTTAAAGTCCTAAAGAAAATACTAGCAAATCTAACTTACTAAAAGAATATATATTATGACCAACAGCTATTTCAGAATATAAGGATGGCTACATGTTAGAAAATATACAGATACTAATTGATAACATCAATAAGTTAAAAGAGAAAAAACCCACATGACCAAATCAATACTATGCCAAAAACGCCTTTGAGAAACTTAAATGCCCTGTCAGAGTAAGGAAAAACATACTCAATAAGCTATAATTGGACAATACTTCCCTGATATAATACACATCACCTACTGCAAACCCATGTTAACATCATTCTTAAAAAGGAAATACTACGTGTATGTCTGCATTTCCCAAAATGTATGTAACAGAGGTAGTCCCAAAGTCCTTACCTCCTAGGGATTAGGAAATATATTAGCATAATAATCCCTTTGAAAAGTCCTACAGACAAGAATTCTGTTTAACTCAGCAGTTTGCAAACTCCTTTAACTGTGGAACTCTTCTCTCAAGGCACGCATACAATATTCCAAAGAATCAGTGTTCCCTGGAGCACACTCTGGCAAACACTTCAGTAAAGGCATTCCCATCAATGCTGGGGAGACAGACAAGGCTGTCTGCCATCACTATGCTCACTTAACGTACTGTTCTGGGAACTTCCAGCCATGGCAACAGGACTAGGGAAAACTAAGGCCTACAGCCATTAAAAAGTGGAGCCATAATTACCATTACATGCACATATGACTATTTACATAGAAAACACAAGAAAATCACTTGAAAAAATTGTGAGAATCAGGGTCTAAGTGTAGAATTAAAAAAATAATTATATATTAAAAAAGGGTAAGATAATGACAGTAAGTTATAGCCAACAACATATCAACAGGAACTACAAAATACTTTGGGAAAATAAACAAAAATGAGCATCAATGAGAGAAGATTCTAATACTACTTTATTAAAGACAAAAACATGCATAAATGAAGA